GGGTGGAAATAGTAATAATAATTCCTTTCTAGTCTGAAAAGTCATACAAAGTGTGTGTTGTAAAATTTTGTTGTAAGTGTCCTTTTTGAGGAAAAGCTTGAGCAGTTCCCAAATGTTTGCTCAGTAGAATGAATCCTTTATTGATTTTTCCTTTTCCTCCGAATAATAGTAAATGACCACCATCTAGTGGCTGGTAGAGATTGCTCAGCCAAGCACTTAATGCTTTCTGTTGCCGGACAGCTACACTGTAATATGAAACTGTGAATTATTTTGTTAATCTTTATTTTATATAACCTGAATTCTCTTTCCAGGTGAATTACAAGAAAGATTTGGAAAGCCTACATGATCCAGCCTCTGATCTACCAAACCTGCTCTATTTAAACCATGCTTTAAATATCAGCAAAACACATAGCGATGTAAGTTGCCTTTATAAAAATGATCTGAAAAATATATGTAGTAAGGAATGTAGTATGTATAGTCACTGTAGAATACATAAATTTTTGGTACTTGCTTCATGGTCTCATATGTTGTAGACTGTAGTGTTGTAACGATAGTTGTTGGGGGATGTAGTGAAGAAAAAAGGGCTTTTGGGGAGAGATATTTCAGTTATTAGAACAACTAATATACTGGGTAAGAATCATACAGACTTCTGGTACTTGAGCATTTCTTCTTATATGTCTGAAACCTTGTCTGTTTTTCCTTTGTTGATCTAAGATACTTCTTTCCTTGCAAATCTTGTTTTGCCTGATTGAGGTATTACTTATTGCTTTCATCTGCAAGTCTCTGTACAGAAATGACCATTATGCTAGTTTAATATTTTGACTTCTGCCATCAGCAGCCTCTCGAGCGCTAGCTTCCCTTAGAGCTTCTCTGTCTAAGCCTTTTTTCCCCTCATCAGTGTCTTGAGGCTTCCTACACTGGATGAGGTAATAGGCACACATTCCATTCTGCCACATAACAAGACGTGCCCTTTGATGGGGCTGGTGGTCTGACATAGGATAGTGATGGGGGTTGAAACGGGGAGGAAGAGGTAGGAAAACCCTGGCTTCTGTGCAATGCTGAAGCTTCTCTCCCACTCCAAGAGCACCTATGCTACATGCGTGGTGCTTGTAGGCTGGTTAGCTGCATTTGTCGTCTTTACTCCAGAAACCACAGAAGGGCCACAGAACTGCTGTGAAAAGATGTGAGTGAGTGGTGTTGGGAAGGAAGATTGCTCACGGTCGGCAGAAGGCGAGCGCTTCACACACATAGGAGCATACTGGGTCATCTTCTGAGTCAGTGCCTGCTTATGGAAGCTTGTGTCTAAAATAATCAAAATAATCCAGCCTTTCTGTCTGTACTTGATTTTTGTGTTGCTCTTTGTTGAATTGAAGCTTGCTTTTTATCTATCTCACTCCGATATGCGAAGCTAACACTGACTATCCCCCTTTGTATGGGTAATAAATGAGTTGATAGCTTTCACTTCCTGCATTCTTCATGTGCTTTTTGGCCTAATTCTGGTTTCCTTCAGTGTAAGGTAAGATTGGCATTCTTTTTGCTGATTAAATAACACCGTGAGAATGAACTTAATCAATTCGTCATCTTATCTCTAATGAGATAGAAACCTGGACTTTCCCGTAAGGCATCTTACTTCTTGCAAAATTTATTTCTTTCTATTGCCCAGGAAGGGTTGATTCATATTGTCTATGCCCTCTTCTGAGGACTCCACAAATACTAAGTCTCTGATTTTTGCATTGTCTAGGTGCTGGTGGATATTTCTTCTTGCTGCAAGCAGGAAGAAGAATGCTTTCTCAATCCCTAAGGTCTCCACTAGCTATTTGTCTTCTACAGAAATCGCATTTTCAAAATCCTTCTCAGATTTGACCTCCCCATGTCATCCCTTTGATTTTAACATGGCTTACTCTCCTGCTTTTCCAATACCTTCTTTGTGTTCTCCTCCTTGTCAATCGATAGCTCATATCAAATCTTTCTTGAAGTCTGCTTCCACTGTATGAAACAGTCTTCCTGACTGTGCCATTAACCGATTTCGAAAGACTGATTGCTTGGTCATTTTTTTTCCCTCTGAAATAGAGAGCTTCTTGCTAATTGCCCAATTTTGCTGTTTCCCTGTAGTATACCTTTCTCCCTTGAACTTTATACTTCTCTTCATCTTTTGCAAAACATAGCTGCACCTGCCCTGGTGTGATACATTGTAACCTGTATGGTTATTTAAACTCAAACTAATACTGTTGATGGCACTGCTTTGCTGATTGACCTGGAGTGTAGAAGTATGTGCAACTTCAATGTGTATGAAACACATATACTATAATACCATGCAAAGCTGTTACACAAGTCAGCTTCTGTGGGACTAAATTCCACCAGTTAAAAGGAAAGCTTGATGGGCATGTTTGGACACAAATAGGATGAGTTCGACCTGTCAGAATCAGTCTATTTTCTTTATTTTGATGAGGAAGAGAGTTCACAAGGTGGGACTTTCCTGTCATATGGTATACGTGTAATTCTCTTTGGTATGAACTATGGAGACATAAAATTTAAAACTTAGATATATCTACAACAGCTAGTTTGTTGTTTTGCACATTTTAAATCTGTTCCTATTGTACAGACTTTGAGATGCTAATGAATTACAGGCTAAGAAAAAAAAGGAACTTAGATGTGTTTCATTTTATGGAATAGGGTGAATAAATAGGACTTAAGGGACTGAATCTGGTGCCTGTAGTTTAGTGTAGCAAAAGGTTGTGCAATTTACCTCATTTGATTTTATAGATTTTTTTTTTTTTTTTTTTTTTAAATTTTGTTCCATTAGTTTAGGAATGGAGTAGAAGTATGAAGTCTGTATCTGTAGATGGAGATAATTTTTGTTTCCACTACAGACGTGATTTTGTTGTGTGACATTTATAATTATTTCCACTAGGAGGCAAACCCAGACCATCATATATCCTCCTTTGCACTTCAAATGTAAATAATAGTTATTTTCTAGCGAACATAAACATTTGACTTCTGGATGAGCAGGACAAGCATTTTCTCTAGGAACTTAGAAAAGTTATTTTTTATCGTATTCTTTTTTCATTTCATCACAATATTTTAAATTCAAACTTAGCAGTAGAACTCCTGGGTTGGGAGGCCTGAAATACAGTTTCTTTTATGCTGTTTCTCCCATGGTTATTTTAAATGGTATTTAAATTGTGAAACCTTCTGGATTTTGTTTGTGAAAACATTCTTGGATATTTTTTGTTTCAGTATGAATATAAGAAATCATTTAAGCAAAGCAAGGGCTTCTATCATTTCACCCCGGATACAGCTGAACAAATCCATCACAAAGAAAATGCAGTGCTTCAAAGTCAGGTATACACAATCATAAATATATCTTGCAAAGAGAAAAATGCAGCATTCTAACAGTGATTAAATCAGGCACAAAACTGCATGACAAATTACAGCGATGTACAGTGCACATTCAATCAGAAGCACTCCATGAGGAGAGAGGAGAGTGTTTTTGCAGAACCCAAACCTTGTGCAGAAGCCTGACAGGGAAAGATCAAATTCAGACGTTACTAGTTTTGAAGAGACAAATAAATTAATATGTTACTCATTCTGAATATCACACTTTGATTTGTAGCTATTTGCTTTCCTTTATGGCTTGTGTAGAATATTCCACCATATCACAGGCTGATTGATTGAGCTGAATAATGTTTGCCCTTCTTAATCAAAAGAGTGGGAATGAATGAGTTCAGAAGGCTTCTCTAGGTTTCCAAACAAAGTGTATTTGCTTTGTGAGTTAGCAAAAAGTTGTGTGTTGGTCTCTTAAACCTGTGTCCTTCAATGTGATTTTGCTGCTAGCTTTAAGGTCATGGTCACTGGTAGCTGTGAGGGGAATTTTGGTGGGAGACCAGACTCTACTGAGGCAGTAGTGTTCCTTCCCACAGGTACAAACAAAAGTGCGTTTCAGAATGGTGCTCCTGACCCTGAAAGAGAGACCCATGGGGTCTGGCTATGAAACAGATTTTGTTGTTGTTACAGTAAACGTGTTGTTTAATGGAAACATGACAGGGGATCCTATTGAAAAGCTGCCAACTGTTCAGACATTCAGCCAAAACCATGCAATTAATTTAAGAATTGTGATTGATGCTCCTCACTCCTGCTGTCTTCAAAGTTCATCGTTTTTAGGTCTGACATTTTGAAGCAAAGGAATAAATGACTCCAGAAAAAATTTCCTTGTCTAGCTACCCTGTTTCTCCAACAGGTTAAGTTTGGGAGGAGTCTTCCGAGTCAAAACGTCTAAGGAGTATGGCTAAGACAGGATTTGCCTGTCGCCATAGCAAGCAATCAGATCTCACATTCTCTCAGCTGTTAACAGCACTTATTTTCATTTTCCTAGGTCAAGTACAAAGAGAATTACGAAAAATCTAAAGGTAGATCTATGCTGGAGTTTGTGGATACACCAATGTATCAAGTTTCAAAGGAGGCTCAAAAGATGCAAAGTGAGGTTAGTAAAACTGTGTGCTTAAAATAGCAAAATTTAGATCAACAGAGAAGCTAACGGACGTCTTGTACTCAGGTTAAGAAAACGGATGAAGCAGATTGTAAAGGTTTTATAATTTTTTTTATAAAGGTAGAATTAGTACTGAGTAGTTCTCTTTGCTATTCTGTAGCTCGGTTCTTCCTTCAAATTTGTTTTTTCTCAAAAGGCCATTGGTGCTAACACTAGGCAGAGATTGTGTGTTGCATCATTTAATTGAGAAGAAGCTCAAGAGGTCATCTAGATCAGAGATTACTAACTTTTACTTTTTGCCTTTAATTCCATCTTTAATGAGGGAGGGTTCTCAGGTGGGAGTGAGTGAAGCTGCAAAGCCCAGTCCGACCCCATGCCTTAACTGAAACGTGCTGCTGCCTGTTCAGCCTGGGGAGCTCAGCAAGGGGAAAGGACTGTTCCTGGCCTCCAGAACAGCACTGGCTATCCTAAGTCACATTTTTCTAACTTTTTATTAAAAACTTCTAATGGTGGAGGTTTCATAACCTCCCAGATAATCTAGTCCAGTGCTTCATCATCCACCCTGAGATTCACCATCCATCCTGAGAGAGAACATTTCCCTGCAGTTTGATTCCATTATTTTTACTATGTGTCATGGAAAATAGATGATTTCGTCCTCTTGGTAGAAACTTTTATGTGTTTAACACCATTACCTTTTGTGCCATTTGTCCTCTCTTTTCTCTACGAAGCAAATTGTTTCTTTCATAGATCAGGTTAAACATTTTCTTTGGAAATATCATAGATACGTATTTTTGTCTAAATTGTGTGTGTCTTGTATAGATAATCTAGGCAATGAAATAGTAATAAAGTTGCTTATTAATGTGACAAGTTAATTCATAGCATAGCTCATTTCTGGGTCTGTTTACAGTGTTCTTTCTGAAATATGCTTGGAAATGCACATGCATGTACCACTAATTGTTGTTTTTGCTTCAACAGAAAATGTATCGCAAAGATTTTGAAGAAGGTGTCAAGGGAAGACCCTCAATGGATTTAGACAAGACCCCAGAGTTCTTGCATATAAAACAAGTCACTAGCCTTCTGAAAGAGGTAGAGGATTTTTATTTCTTTTTTTTTGTTGTTAAGGTGTAAATGAGCAATAAGCAGCATCACTACAAGCTAGTGAGTGCTGAACAACTTACAGTTAACTTGGTAGCTAAATGGAAAAGTGACTTCATAAGTAAAAATTGCGGTGTGTCGTTTTATATTCTGAATAGTCCTGCAGTAAGAATTGATACTTTTTGAAGTTTCCTTATGAATGTAAGGGATAGAATCCTTCTATCATTAGTCTTTTTATATTGTTATTCAAAACTATTTTCATGTTAGGTTTTGAGTATTGGTTGGTTCTATAGATTAGGCTTACTATTTGACCAAACATAGAAGTAAATGTATCAGCAAAATTCGTAGTTAGAAAGATCAGAGCTGCTAGATATCCTCCATTTGAATATAGGAGCCAACAGTACCTTGTTTATATTTATTGTATTAAGAATTGGTGTTTTTGCTGTGGCCCAGATGAATGAATTGAGGATGCTAGAATTAAAAACCCTTGAATGTTGTCCCTTTCCTTGTTCTTTAAACAACCTATCCCAGTCTATGCTGGATTTCATATGGGTAAAAAAAAGATTTTCTTTTTAGATATTTCTTTATTATTCATCATCTAATAAATAATTTATTCCAATAAGCTTCACTGTCAGGTAGACAAGTCTCAAGCTAGGTCTAGTTTGCGCAGTACCATTCTGTGCATACATGTCTCATGTATGCCTACTGACTAGGGAAAAATGCAAATGCTTGCATTTCAAGTAGTTAATCTTGCTGCGTGTTGAATGTCCACAGAAGTGGTTAGTGCATGCATAGTTGCAGATGTGCTGTAAATGTTCATCTATGAAAATTTTGATGTAACTTCCCTCCATAGTGCTACACGCATTAAGATGTTCCCTAATTCTTACCTCCTCAAGTTTTATGACTCGTTACTTAGGGAGTAAACCACGCTTGTAAGCCAGAGGGGAAGAATATGGGAAAATAGAAATGGTATTTTAATGCATAACTGCATGAATTTCAGATGATTTTATATCCATGTTCAAGGAACAGATTCCAAAACCAAAGATTACATAGGTCAAATTAATTATTGTCTTTCAAGATTCAGCAAAATGATGTATTTCCTCATAGTCAAGGATGTAGCTCAGTATTTTTGCATGAAGGTTCATAATAAACTTTAGATAGATACTGCATGAAACAAGAAGGAGAACCTGGAGTTATTAAAAAATGAATTATTTGTTCAATTACTTTTTTTTAAAGTGTCAGCTGTGTTCCAGCTTATTCCGTTGCCTTCCCACTGTAGAGAATTCTGCAAATATTTCACATTTTGTGACAATGAGAACTTTCTTCTCTGTAACCACATTTGCAACTCCTTCAGAAGAGATAGCTGAATTGAATAATTCTAAATTAATAGAAGTTGTTTCCTGCTTGTTGTAGGACATGCTTCTGATGATAAAGAGAAGCTTCTTTAAAAATACCAGGTTTCCTTTTGTTTAAATAAAGAGCTTAGACAAAGACAAAGGGGCTCACTACTGCTTGTGAAATTTAATACATGATTAGGAGTGTTAATTCATGTCCATATAAATCCTTCGAAAAAATATTTTCTTTAATTTTTTTCTGGTTTCCTTGCTTAAAAAAACCTAACCCAGACCTAGAGATGGGAAAAGCAATTGAAAATCCTTAAACTTTAACTTCAGTGTGCTTACATCAGCTCTGTAGGAATTGGGAAGAAAAAGAACCAAATGTCCATGGGCACATTCTAGTGTGCTTTTAATTTTATACTGAACATTTGAGTACTCTGGAGGCTGCAATTGCTAAATGCTGATAGATCGTATCAGTGCAGTGTCTGAGGGGCACAGAAGTGATATGGTAGGAATATTGCTTCTACGTTATAATTTATCAAGCAGTCATTTTAACAGGTCCTAGCATAGTGTTCAGGGCATCCATCCTGATTGTGATGCCATTAGTGGAACAGGGGTAAAAACCGCAGCACAGCATATATCGGTCTGTAAAAGCAAATGCTACTGCAGTTAAAAGGTCTGTAGGGAGGCAGCTGAGGCCCCTAAACAATGTGCTAGCGCTGTATCGGAAAGGACTATTTTTCAAGAGCACAACAGGAAAATACATGACTACATTAAAACCTTTTCACTTTTTCAACACTGTAGCTTTTGATTTCATAATTTCCAATTCTATTTTAACTCTGAGTACTTCAGCTAATTCATATTTCATAGAAATTTCAAAGAGGCCCTTCAGACATTTAATAAATGGCATTTCTTTTAAAGATCTTGCACACAATATTTAGTGGAGAAATCTCTCTTTTCTTTTTTAAATCCTTAGAAAGAGTATAGAAAAGATTTGGAAGAAGGGATGAAAGGAAAAGGAATGACAGTGTTTGAAGATACACCAGATTTGATTAGAGTGAAAAACGCAGCTCAGATACTAAATGAGGTATGTTGTGCTAGTCAAGGTTATTGATGTCACAGAAAGTTCACTCTTTATGTTATACTCTACTGAAAATATTCAAATTTTTTTTACATAATCTGCAACGAAATACGTAAGTATTAAAACTAAGGCTATTTCTGTTTTGCTTTAAGAATATAGAAAAGCTCTGGAAAAAAACCAACATGACAAATATTTCAGGTTTTCAGGCAATTAAAAGGTCAATGGAAATTGTTAGTGGGGTCAGTAGATACAGCATTTAAAACTGGGTTCATTTTTCCATCTATTTATTTGTTCAGCTAGTATAATTAATACTGTAATGGAAAAAGAGTTGACCTTTAATGGACTTGTAAAGAAAAGTCAATGAAATAATTTTGAGTTTTTTGGAATCACGTACCTGCTATCTGAAAATAAATATTGGTAATGACTGCCAGGCATCTTGGGAAGATCTTTTATCCAAACAAACTATTCTACTTGTGAAGACCTTTTCCAAAAGTAGAGTTGCTCCTGAAGAAATTAATTTTCTTGAGCTTGCGGTTCATCCAATACAAATAGACAGGTGGAAGCTCCTTCCAGAGTATATTTTTAGAACTGAACTTTGGTATTAACTGTGTTGGTCTAAGTTGCTCTGGAAGTTACATGGAAGCACATAAGTGTGCGATCTACTCCCATTATGAAGGGCTGGGAGTGGAAGTGGAAGACTCCTTGATCTGTGTACTGTCTCTTGAAGACCACCCTAAGGAACTCATGTGCTCGGCAAACCTGCGCGCTCAGCAGAGCTGCAAGCTCCAAAGCTGGCACGGCTGCTGCTCCTGTGGATGAGCTTGCACAGGCTGCCTGGGAAGCAGCAGTGGGGCTGGAGGGTATGGGGAGGGAAGAGGGAAAGCAAAGCTTGTGCTGCACTTCACACCTTCGGGGAGTCATTCTTTCAGAGTCATATATATATTTACTTTATATATTTAT